TATATGATTGCCTTAACGGTTAGGTATAGGTTCAACGCTTGAGCGCCATCCATTTTCAGGGCTAAAACAATGCACTGTGCGCTTGTGAGGCCCTACCCCCACCCCCTCTGCTTAGGTCAAAACGGCGCGTAGCGTAAATTCAATTTTTAAATTTTGGTTTTCAAACCAAGTGCCCCAAGCACAGCTCCTTTCACTCGGTCTTCCAGCAGAATGTTGTTTTTTCTGCGGACAACGGAAAGTTCCAAATGGTCTTCTAGCGGGATAAAGTTTCATTTGGCACCGGTGTTGAGGACATTCCAAGGTAGATCTTAAAATACCTTTGGACCGCGCAAAATCACAGGCAGAACCAGAATTGAGAATATTTTCTAATGCTCTGTGCGAACAACGCATGACTAGTTTGATGACTAGAGAAAATTAGCAAAAACAAAAAGAAAAATTTGGACAGAAAAAGTGATGTGCACAGTTCAAAGAACGAAAAGCCAGTGAATGAAGCTAAACTTTTTCAAAAGCATCATATTTGCAGATATCGCCATCTTGTGGATGCTTAATCCACTATTGAAATGCTTTATGATTACAACTCGCATTTAACGTATAATTTCATGCTTTCTAAAGCAATTTTATTTTTTGCTGCTCGGCGCATGTGCGAAACCTCAAATATGACCTAGCATTCGAAAGCTCGAGTCGAGTTCTATATGATAAAGATATCGATATGCAATTATATTGTGTATTAGCTGAGATATCGTATATTTCCGGTATAACTGGAAGTACTGATTTCCGCAAGTTGAGACTTCATCAATGAATTGTTTATAACAAAATAATTATGTATGCAAATTTCATCATGATCAGAGGGGGTGTCATACTAAAGTCTTACCAAAAGTATAAGTATTGAGAACTCCAGGGGTATGCAAGTTGAAGAAAACTTAGTAAAACTTGCAGGCGAGCTTGTCTTGATCCAAGTTAGAGTGCTACATGTCTTGATATAAGTCAAAGTAAAACATGTTGTCGATAGCCAAGTACGTGAAAACCGATAAAAGTATAAGTATTGAGATTTCCAGGGGTATGCAAGTTGAAGAAAACTTGATGAAAGTTAAAGGCACTAAAGGATTAAACTTTCACTGTCAAACTTGTTCTCAACTCTTTCTAAGCTTTCACTAATCTTTAACTCAACTTATTTTTGACCTTACTTGTTTACTTTGAACATCTGTAAGTTAATTCCAACTGCCATTTTGGTCTTAACGTCTTTCAACTCAAATTGTAAAGGGTCACTAATTAACATTAGATGAACCCTTAGAGGACTCAGTTAGTCAAACACCATCTCCCGAACTTCCTTTATAAACTGAAGTTTCTCCAACCTAAAACGTATGTGTGTATCATCCATTGTTACTCTGTCCGACTGTGTGTCTTATTCCTTTGTGGAAATTCATTGTAAACAAGTCATTGACTGTGTGTCAACTTCAAACTTACTTCAACTTTAAATAAAATTGTTTTACTAATAGTAACTCTATTTGTCTATCTTAATTAGAAGTATTTCTAGTAATACTTGACTGTGTGTCAATCGTGTTTTAAAAGCATACTGCTTGATCAACAATTATTTTATTGAACTTATTTCAACGCATCATCACCGCTTTAAGCATACATCAATCACATCAATTAAACCAACAGTTTTGTTAACCCAAGCATCTACAGGGCATTTCAGCTAATTTTCCCGTTGTAAATTGGCTATATCTTTGCTCCTGAGGGACCTAGAGGAAAGATATTTTGTTACTGGAAATTTGGGTGATACTCAATTGTCATATTTCAAGGTCAAGGTCATTCAAGGTCGTTGCTTTATTTGACCTCTAACTGATATTTGGAGGTCATTTTCTAAGAGCGCAAAAATTTTGAGATTGGTTGATGCTAGTGAAATGGTCAAAAGATATGAGTGTTTACACATTTTACTGTTGATGAATTGGTTTTAAGAAAAATGCATTCATCTTTCCATCGGTATAGGATACTAACTCGCATAAACATCAACCAATCTAAAAATTTTTGCACTCTTAGTAAATGAACTCCTAATATCAGTTAGAGGTCAAATAAAGCAACGACCTTGAAATATGACAATTGAGTATCACCCAAATTTCCAGCAACAAAATATCTATCCTCTAAGTCACTCAGGGGCAAAGATATAGCCAATTTACAACGAGAAAAATTAGCTGAAATGCCCTGTACTAATTTTTTATCATCAATTGATACCACTCATCTTCTACCAGTCCATTCATTCACCCGCATAAGAGAGTATTTTGACACCAAAAAATTTCTTTACTCTTTGTAATAGACCCTTCTTACGTATTTTAAATATAATCATCCCTTCGTTTTTGATACATAGGCTTGTTCACACTTCAAGATTCCTGTCTGCATATTTCATGTCAAAAATTTAACCCATTTTATTTGTCTTCTTACATTTGAAACAACCTTTATCCAATTCTGGTATCAATTGCTCTCGAGTAAAACAAGATAAGATAAAAAATATCTATTCAATGTAGTGTTCTATTGTTCTTGTTCTCCAACGCCAGGAACAATTGTTCTTTGTTCTGTTCCGTCGTTTTGTTCCGAAAAATCGGAACTAGGAACAACCTAGGAACAGAACAACCCGAATCTAGCACAGAAAAAAAGAACAAAGGTGACGCAATAAAATGCTAAATGAGTGCCTAAAGTAACCCATTAACACCAGAGGGATTCAAGTCAAACCCTATTTTACCCAAAATCTGTTGATAAATTGAAATTTTCACCAAAATTGTTCTCAGTTTTATGTTTTGTTCCGCTAGGTTTTTTTTGTTCCGATTTGTACTGTTCTTGTTCTTGTTCTTGTTTTCGATTTTAAGAACTAGGAACAACATTTTTTGTTCTTGTTCCGAAGAAATTTTTCTTCTCGTTGTTCTTGTTCCTTGAAAATATTGGAACAATACAACACTAATTCAATGCAAGACACCTTGAACCGTGTTAATTAATCTACTATTGATTCTGATTGTTTTTTCAATAAATCATAGTTCTTTTAGCTCAATCGGGTTTGAAATACCAGAAAGAATTAATGATAAATTAATCCGTCTTGAAATCAATTGAAACTAGCAAGTTTGGTAGCTTTATAAAATATAATATATTAATACTGTTATTTCATTCACTTGTTGGTAAATTTTATTTTTTTATTTCATCAAACCAATAATGGTATTTGTGATCAGTTAACGCTTATTGTTGGTTTTGTTTATCAGTAATGTCAATCTACTGTGTCTCCCTTAATTAACTCTTGATTATAATCTACATGTTATAATAGCCATGGAGTTCAATAGTGCTAAAAAATGTGAAATATCCTTCACTGAACCTGATGTTGAGGAAGCGTATAACTTAGGAAGATATAAACACTCGCAAGTTGAATTGGAAGAATGTAGAAATCGAATTGAAGAATTGAAATTCCACCATGATGAAGAAAAGGCTGGTAAGGAACGAGCGCTTAAGTTTTAGCGGCATATGTGAAGCAAACTAGAGATGAGAGGCACATATGTCCACAATCAATTCACTCGAAAACATTGTCATGATGTTGATGTTGAAAACCAAAAATTCAGCTGATCATGGTAAGTTATCTTGAATTTAGTTAAAGAAATGTGATACTGATTGACCTGAAAGGTTGTCTCCAAAAAATTCAATGAAAGTAAATCAAGTGTGAATCATGAAACCCATTTCTGTTTGACTTTAATGTCCTGATTGTATGAAAAACCTGACGCTATCTCCAATTGCTGTGTTATCATAGACATTCGAAGCTCTTTAGTTGAATTATCACTCTTGTCCCCGATCTTTATTATTAGTGATTACTTTATTAAACTAAAATGAACGCTTAAATTAACCTCTGTATTGCTTCAGTATTCGCTTAAATCATTATAACATGCACACTTCTGTTATCAGAGAAAAATTCAATTTGTTTTTAAATGAATGCTGAATAGAGTGATTTAAAAACAATTTTTCAATCCTCCGTACTTATTTATAGCTTCTAGATTGGAGGAAAAGACATATCCATCCAGTAATAACAAGCCGACAACATCCAGAAAGTCTGATATTGAACCTTATTCTAGTCACAGCGAAGAAGTCAACATCAACATGTCCTCTAAAAATCTGGCCTCATCTATTATGGGACCTCGTCAGGCCTGGATGGACACTGACTTATCACTTGAAGATGCTTCTTTAATCGAAGCAATCGATGCAATTGCTCGAGATTGTGAAAAAGACAGAGAAATGAACAATCTTACAGGTATTGCATATTTTACAACTGTATCATCTCGATTTTGAATTGTAAATAACCCGTTCTCATAGGTTTTATAATTTCCTCTGATTTATTCCTTTTTTCATTCTTAATTTTTCAGGTCTAATTTCACACCAGGATAAATATGCCTCATCCGGTATGGTATCTTATCATCTTCAACAAACTTATTGTGCATTTCCTCGTTACATTTTCACTATATCACCATTCTGCCTTCGTTCTCGTTCGTAATCAAATTTTATTTTGGTGTAAAAAGTAGATTTCATTTTCAATTACTTTCAATTTATGATTGCATTTTTATCAGCCAAAATTTTCTCGTTGGAGTCACATATTTCTGGTTATCTCGTTTATTCATTTTCTTTTCATTTTCAATAACAGTTCCAGTTCTCAATAACTTAATTTCAGATTTTTGCCTTTTTCGATGAATTAGATATTTTAAGAGCAACAAATTTTGAATTTTAACCTCGAATTGATATTATGAATAATGATGCACTAAATATTGCCTTTCTCTTGATTTCCAACAACGTAAATGTCTTCTTATTCTATCTACAGCTTCTATCTTCTGTAGCTTCTAGGTTGGAGAAAAGATTACAAGAGTTAAAAAGCGAAAATGACCATCTTCGAAGCCACCGTGATTTCATGTTGCGCAGATTAATAGAAGGTGATTATAGAATGAACACTGGAAAAACAAAAAAAGTAAACAAAGAAGCTGAGAATACCGAAACGAGAGTCAAACGCACTACAACTATCGAAAATGTCGAAAATTAAAGTGAGAAAGAAAAAAACGTTCTGCAATCTGACTCAACTGTGCCTACCAAGGAAATACTTGTTAGCACAGATACACCGATTAAATTAGATGCTTCATCAGATGTTAAAACAGATTCAAGTGAACTATGCAGAGCTCTAGAAAAAGAAAAGACCGAAATTAAAGATGTTTCAGACAAAACTGACAAGCCTGTAGATAAAAATGTGGCTAAAGCTAATGAGCCACATTTTTTTGATAAATTTAAACCACTAGGATCATGGGTGTGTACAAAGTGTATCACAGGCGAAAAATCTAAAAAAAATCATGAGCTGAGATTGGCTTCAAAGGCTTCGCAAGCACAACTAAATGAAAAGAGCATAGCTCATTTTCCACCTCTAATAATAGTAAACCCATTGGCTTCCGACTCTGAAACTTCTAAGATTATAACTCTTACTAGCAGTTCCTCATCAACATCAACATCATCTACCCCTACAACCGCTAGCAGCTCGCTTGCTTTTGGAAAGTCAACAGATTCAAATAAAAATTTAATAATGTCTACTGGTTCTTTAGGCGAGTCTTCACAAACAAAAATATCTTCATCTAATCGAACAAAACCAATTAGCACAACTGATCCAGTTTCGCGTGATGAAACAGCTTGCACAGCTGCAAAACTCACTTCTGGAAGCACCTCATCAGCAGGAACAACGTCGACCTCAGGATTTACTTTTGGACAAACACCTAAAACTACCCAAAGCTCCAGTTCTGGTTTGTTTTTTAGTTCTACGTCTTCAAATGCTCCATCATCTCTTGCCTCACCCGGAATTCAATCAAATGCTTTCGGTCAGAGTTCTACATTCTCTTTTAGCGCTTCACCATCAACATCTCAAGCTAAACAACCGGCATCACCTTGAACCGTTTTATTGAATCACTATTGCTTTTGATTGTTTTTATCAATCAATAATGGTTCATCGGATTTGAAACACCAGATGGAATTGCTCTGTGATTAATTATCTTGTCTACATGTCAATTGAAACTATTAAGTTTGACCGCTTTATTAAATATACTGTTATTTATGTTAATTTTTATGTCTCTATTTCATCAACCCAATAATGGCATTTGTGTTCAGTTAATACTGTTAATGTTTTGTTTATCATTAATGTCAATCGACCGTGTATCTCCCTTAATATAAGTTACCAGTTCCTAGACCAATCAAAACTACACAATCGGGAACAGAGTATGTTTATCCATGAAGAATGATTGCATTCGATAACCAAATAGAAACTAGAAGTCTCTCTACTGTTTATGCATAGAAGGTCATCAAGCGATCACTCTAATGTGATGAATGACGAAAGAAAACAGATGTGATATTCGCAAAAGAAAAGGAAAGTTGACGAGAAGAGATTTATTATATTATATTGTAATAATCAATGCTGTTACTAGAGATGATTCGTCATGATGTTAACATAGGTTGACGCAAGTTTCAATGGACCTTTATTTTCGATTGCTTTTTCGTTATGAATTTAGGTCTTTTCAATGAGAATTTATTAAAACTCATATTTTCTAATATTCATTGCCTAGAATCTTTTTAAGGCATTGTCGGTTGTTTATTTTGAGGATGAATTTTCTGACTGAATGAAATTGGCTCATATTAATCTCTATTTCGATCAAAGGTTAGGTAAGATTTTCTGAAGTTTCCAGTTTATTTTGAAACTTATTTGATAATTTTTGCGTCAATTTTATGACTCAAATTTACGCAATTGTTTTGGATGTGATTCTTGTGACTGTGTCATCAACTCGATCCAATATCACTCCACATTGCATTATGTAAGGTAAGTTTGCAAGTGCTTCAATGGTAAAATAATTTTCGAGGCGTTTTTTGACTATTTTTACTTATAATGTTGAACAATATCAACATTAATTGAAAGGGGTCGAAAAAACTTGAAAAATATTTGATAGCTTTCAGTAAAATTTACTCGTCTGTATTTTACTTTTGAAACAGCCTTTATCAATTGTTGCATCAGTTGGTCTCGCATAAAACAAGTTACTACTATAAGATTCAAAAAATATGTAGGAAACAAAAACACCTTCTATCGTGTTATTTAATCGATTATCGATTTTGATTGCATTTTAAATCATTTTAGTTCCATCGGGATTGAAACACCAGATGGAATTGCTTTGTGATTAATTGGACTTGCCTACATGTCAATTGAAACCTACAAGTTATTGTTAATACTTGTTAGTAACTTTGACTGCTTTAATCAATATTACAAACGAATGCATTGAGTTTGACGGTACTTTTAATTTTCTTTGCACATCCAATTCCCACTTCATGTGATAAGATATAAATTTAATACCTAATTGTAATCCTATCAAGGCGATCATAATCAGATGCGTAAAGTAAAAATTGTCATCAAATTCAATTCATTTGTTTGTAATTGTTATTTCACTCGTTGGTAATTTTTGTATTTTTATTTCATCAAGCTAATAATGATATTCGTGATCAACTAATCAATTAACTCTATTCAGTTTAACAGTTTATTTTGTTTAGTATTAATGCCAATCGACTGTGTATCTCCTTTAATTAATTCATCTGGATAATAATTTACATGTTGTAATGAGCATTGAGTTGGATAGTGATAAAAACAGTAAGGTATCCTTTACTGAACCTAATGTTAAAGAGGAGGAAAATCGGGATAACTTAGACAACGAAATTCTCGGAGTTTCCGCTAAAAAATATGAACAGTTGCAAGTTGAATTGGAAGATTGCAGAAATCGAATTGAAGAATTGAAATTGCATCGTGATGAAGAAAAGGCTGGTAAGGAACAAACGTCCAAAACTTTAGCAACATATGAGAAGAAAACTAGAGATGAGAGGCAACAATATGTTCGACAAATCAATCCACTCGAAATCATTGTCATGATGTTGAAGTTAAAAGCGAAAAATTCAGCTAATCATGGTAAGTCCTCGCTTTTCCGAAATTAGAAAAAGCACAAACAGTTGAAGCTCTTTGGTTAAATGTCCACTCTTGTCACCGATCTATACATCTATCTGTATTATTTGTGATTATTTGATTAAAGTTAAGTGAGCTCTTGAAGCAACCTTCTCATTACTTCTATCTTAGCTTCTAGGTTGGAGGAAAGATTACAAGAGTTAAAGACTGAAAATGAGCAACTTCAAAGCCACTGTGATTTCATGATGAACATAATAATAGAAGGTGGTTATGAAATGGATACTGGACAAACAGATAAAGTCACATCGAGCAATAACAACCCAACGGTATCCAGAAATATAGATTTGACCGTCACCACAGCGCAAGCTAAACAATCGGCATCATCGACAAGCTCAAACAGTTTGTCTATCGCATCTACTAAAGCAGCTTCTTGTACTACTGCTAGCAGCATCTTTGTATTTGGAAAACCCACAGCATCAGATGACAGTTTGAAAGTTTGTTCGCGTGGGACTGAAAGAAAAAATCGAATTCCAACTCATTCAGTTCATTTGAAGTGCTTCTTCTCTTGTCTGAAATCAAGTATGCTGCCAGTTTAATTGCTCAGCGAAATTACGTCAAAGCTAAAAGAAGACTTCCACGCAACTAGGCTGATCAAATGTCTCTATGATATCTGTTTGTTTATCTTTCCCCTTCTACTCTTTCCTTTTCCTCTTTTCCCCTTTTCGTTGAATTTCCATTGACAAATTAATAAACAAATTAACTCTCATTCGGTTCTTAATTTATTGTATAATGCATCAGTTTTTTGCTCAGAAAAAAAAGGATGCCTGATACGGAACTGCGATACTATCGCCACTATCGTGGACTATCAACACGCGATGATATGACTATTTTTGTGATTTCAACTTTATTGATTTGGTGGCAAACTAACGGTGCTTTAAAAATGTAAATTATGACTATTGCAACCCTAATTTTCACTCGATAACTCACTTCATGCAAAAAAATATCCAAACTGGATAAAAATCAAAAAAAGTTATTAGCGATAAGAAAACGCGTATTTAAAGGGTGAATCAAAAGTAGGGACACAAAATTTTAAACGGGATTTCTCAGTAAATATTCGACGTAAATATTTCATCTTAACATATATAATAGAGTACAGCTTGGACAATAAGATGATTATTTCATTATTGATGTAGGACCTTCCCAAAAGATTTTACGTAATATTAGATTCATGCTTACAATTGAATTTTTGCCGGAGTATTAAATGATTTTTTGTGGCTAGTTTTTATAGTTTTTTTTGAAATAAAATAAATTTCAGATAAATTTCATTATGTAGAAGATTTCTAGCGGCCTCAAGAGCAGAATTTTTGTAAACAGACAAGTCTGGGGAGGTTTTTCCGCTGACATTGTCTTACTTTTTTCTGAATCCTTTGCATCTTCAACATGGGGAATGGCAGATTCGAACTTTGTAAAATGATTTTAAACACTAATTACTGATCTTATTTGTTTTCCAAAATACAAAATTTTAGTATTAAATCGAAGCTGAAAAATTTCTCTATCCGTTTATGCTCTCTAATTCTATGGGGGCATAATAGTTTTTTAATTAATCCACTTAAAATTTTTGTGTCCCTACTTTTGGTTCACCCTTTATCTGTAACACACTGTATAACATGCCAACTGAAAAGCAAACTCTTGAAACGTTGATCAATTTTTTCGAATCATTTGTCCATAAAATGATGAAATGGAGAGCGTATATTTGCGTTTGAACAATTGAATTTATTTCATTAAATTTTTCAATTGGCATGCATTATGATTAGCATCGATTAAAAATCGAGCTGCAATTGGATGTCGCAGAATATGAAAGAGAGGGGTGCTCACTTCCAATACCAGAATCTATCGTATTTGTCCTGAAGTAGGTGGAATTTATCCTACGGTTGGATCCAATAATCCCTCCGGATCAGCTGAATTGGCTGGAGGAGCAGGCGGATCTTGAGAAAGTGGACCAGCTATCGCTTTTGGTTCAGGTATTGGAGCTGGAGCAGAAATAGCCATTATGGAATCAAACATAGCAATAATTGCAGTCAAAATGATATACGTTAAAATTTTGTTTACTTGCATATTGACTATTCTTGATGATTAAAATAATTTGATTAGACAGAACAAATGTAAAATTAACTAAATTACTTGAGAAATTTAGATCTTCAATTGATACATTTTCTCTAAAGCACTCGACTTTTATACTTATTTGAATCGCAGATAATTAAACAACTTTATTTTTTCAATAAAATACCTGCTGTTACCCTGTAAATTATCATTCAATTGTTTTATTTAATTAAATTAAATAACGATCAAATATTTATTCTAGTTTATCTGCAATTTATATTTGTATATTGTACACCAATATTTGTTAAGTAATTTTTGAGCTCGAGGAACCTGAATGGCAATTTAATAAGATGTTCACTAAAATTATTTACAAAAAATGTATGTAAAAAAATTATTTTATCGCCGCATTACTAAATTATGGAGAATCCATATTAGGTTGCAAATTTTTTAATTTCTAATATTTAATGTTTAACAGTTTGACTTAGAATATAAAGTTGTTTGGCCTTTGTGGCCGTTATGCCCTTTTCTGGTCCAGCTCAGATGCCTGAACGAAAACCAAAAAATATCAACTCCCCAACCTCATTAAAAAAATCAGATGAAACAGACTTTGTCAAATTTTTCTGTTTTGAGTCAAAATCATCAAACTAACTGAATACCTAACTTGATAAACATCATCTGTGAACCTTCAAATAGTAAAACATCAATATTTGTATAATAATTTTTAAACTCGAGGAAACCAAATCGAATAAAATAATCATCAATTTAATTCAAAGTCCAATAGCAGTTGATGTTCATTAACCTAACATCTTTAACACGTGAGTCTGATCTTTTCCTCTCTATTTCTGTCCAACGTTAAAAACGTAAACGGAATGTATTACGATGATTCAAAAAAATATCAAGCAAATGCTAAGGTGTGATCGGATTTTAATTAAATTGATGATAATTTGATAAAATCGCAATTTGGTTTCCTCGAGTTTAAGAATTACATTAACACTATCGTTTTACGGACAAAGGCGTAACGGGTAAGACTTTTAAATTGTTATGCAATGGGAGATGTTGATTTAAACACATATAAATAATTTTTACAATCTAAAGTAGAAATATAATTAATCACAAATTAATATGAAAATAACAAACGAATTAACAAACAAAAAACGTAGAAAGACAAAGCACATGTAAATAAGAATGATATCGTCTGATTGTTAGTTTCCTTGCGTGTTTTCTTTTGATTTTACTCTCACAGCAATGTCTTTTTCTGGTGATTTTTTCTCGAGTTTGACCCCATTTAATTTTGTTAGTAAATTAACTCAACTGTGCCTACCAAGGAAATACCTGTTAGCACAGATACATCGATTAAATTAGGTGCTAATTAATTGCTTCATCAGATGTTAAAACAGATTCAAGTGTACTAAGTAGAGCTCTAGAAAAAGAGAAGACCGAAATTAAAGATGTTTCAGACAAAACTGACAAGCCTGTGGATGAAAATTTGGCTAAAGCTAATGAACCATTGTTTGATAAATTTAAACCTACACTAGGATCATGGGTGTGTACAAAGTGTATCACAGGCGAAAAATCTAG